TGTTGGAGAATACTCTTGAGAGTCCCTTGGACTGCAAGGAGATCCAACCAGTCCATCCTAAAGGAGGTCAGTCCTGGGTGTTCATTGGAAGGACTGATGCTGAGGCTGAAACTCCAATACTTTGGCCACCTGATGGGAAGAGTTGACTCATTGGAAAAGACCCTGATGCTGGGAGGGATTGGGGGCAGGAGGAGAAGGGGACGACAGAGGATGAGATGGCTGGATGGTATCACTGACTCGATGGACATGAGTTTGAGTAAACTCCAGGAGTTGGTGATGGACAGGGAGGCCTGGCGTGCTGCGATTCATGGGGTCGCAAAGAGTCGGACACGACTGAGTGACTGAACTGAACTGAACTACACAATTCTCTTGGTTATATTTCTCTAAAATTGTAAATCATGTGTAACTATCACCTCAGACACTATAAATCATTGAAAATAAAAATTTTCATTTATTCTGATCAGTAAAACAGGAAAGTATGTCAATATATTTAATAATAGTTTTCTCAAAATATAGAAAACAAACGATTGACTTCCAGCTAATTAAAAAAATATATTCCAAAGTATCCTATCGTATGAGTTGTATATGTTATCTAGATTAGCCTCCTTTTTCAAGTTTTTGTAATTGTTCACTTGCATCTTTGCCACTAACTTTGTTAGGCTTTTTGTTTTTGGAGGATAGGAAGTTTGACATAGTGTTCTGATTGCTACAGACCACAGTATTAAATTGCTACAATTATGTGAGACCTGTATGTTGTAGTTTTACTTGTATGTATCTGTGTATGTTTATCTGGTGTTGGGGCCTTCCCAAAATATGCTTCAATGGCGTATTGACTATTTTGAATTAAAGTTACTTAAAACAATGAGCGATGCAAGAGGGACACATTGACCTCTCCGCTGTTTCTCTGAGGGCAAGAAATAAATTTCGCCGTTAAATGTGCCCTCATTGTACCCAGAGGTAGAAAGGCAGGGTGTTCTGGGCCCAGAGCTTGTATAAATAAACCTTGTTACTTCTTTACTAACTTATTAAGTCTAAACTTTGCTTAGATTCCTTATTAATTAAGAACCCAAGCCTGAGTTTGTCCTGTCAAATCCTTACAAATTTTCTTCATGTAAAAGAGGTACAAAAACTGCCTGCTTTTGGTTACTCTGAGCATCATTTTATGATCTGTGTGCATGAAATTAAGTTGCCTTTTCTACTGTTATCTGTCATGTGTAAATTTTATTATTAGTCCAGCCATAAGAACTCAGGAGGCGTAGAAGGGGAAATTTTGCCCCTTGTCCCCAAAGACAGTTGTATGTATACATTAAATTCACAGATATACACTATGCTGTTGCTTAAAACTCCAATGCTGGCAATTTAAAGACTTTTTGTTACTAATAAAGGCTTAATACCTAAAACTGAACAGAGTGGTCACAAGGTAAATTAACCAGGGAAATATGCCAATTCTGACTTCATTTCCATCCTATTGAATGATTGCATTCATTCTCTTTAGATTTCAAGCTCTTCATTCTACTGTTCCTTAACACTCTTTATAGAATTCCAGCTTGCTTTCCACCTATCTTTTAACAGTTTATCATAGATGACTTGATCAAGTCCATTGTTCCCATTGTATGTAGCTTTAAAAGCTCTGCAGTATTTTACTCTTTGCATTGTATTTGGCTTCCCTGAGTGCTCTGCTCCCTGCATTTTACTCCTATTCTCTCTGTTTTCTAAACCCATTTATGCCTATTCTTTCTGAAGACATTTGTTCTTCTGGGCACTCAAATTGACTTCTCCGCATTTTGTTTTCTTAACTAAAAATGCACCATTAAGGTTGATTGAAATCATTTAAGGAACTTCATAAAAAAGTAAAAGGCCATAGGAAAGTAGGCTACCAGTGTTTGTAAATACCTGTTTTCAGCCACACTGATAGGATGAAATAATAAATAATTGTCAACTTAAAAATGTTATTGATATATTTTTTTTACAGATTAGTCTTTTTTTGGTTGTTCTTTGAGAAAAAATTTTGTAAAATATTTGAGGGCAGGGATGGAAGTGGGGGGCATTATGTTATAATTAAAGATAAGACAAATAGTAGAGCCAAACTACTAAAATTATTTAAAACATTTTAATGTTTTACAGTAAGCTAGATGTAAAACATACAGGTCCATGATTAAAATACACAGTTTTAAACCACATGATCTTAATTTTTTTCTATTTAAAAGACAGATATTGTTATTTAAAAATAAATGTAACCATAATGGTTTACAAAACTATAAACTATAAATGATTCATTTAAGATCATCACTGACCTTTTTTCCTATTTGCAACATTCAAAAATGGAACTCTGTTGGTAAGACATACTTTAAACATTTGGAAATTCATTAGAATTCATAAAATTAAACATTGGAAGAAAATGTACAATATTATTTGTGAAAAATACTTGAGATCCATTTTCATTTTGTTGGATCAAAATGAAATTAATTTTTAAAAGTTATCAAAATGTCATCCCAATGGATTTTTATTTGGAGCATTTTAAAAATAAATACTCTTATTTTTAATGATACAATATAAGGAATAATATTCTAATTTTAAAATTAGCATTTCAGAACCACCAGTACTTTATATGAAAATGATGCTGATGATTTGCTTTTGTTGTTTTTGAATTTGCTTTTTTATTTACCTAAAAGAGCATATAGTTAAGGTTTCCTAATAGATTATATGTAAATAATAAATAATTTGATTTCGGGTAATTAACACTTTCAAAGCGACTTTTAATTTCCTTTGAATGTATTATTCTATTTTTAGGTTACAGAATTTCATGTTTTTGCTATAAAATAATTTATTTTACTTTAATTATAAGGAAAAATCATCACTAAAACAAAATTTTGAGTTAAAAAGTGCACAAATTGGGTCAGAGAAATATCTTTTCTGTAGTTTACAAAATAATTTTATCCATAAATCAAAGAAAAAGAGGAATAATATAATATTTATAATTCATATTTTTATAAGGTTAAAAACTTCAGAAATACAATAGTCATAAAATAACTATGTACTTTTGCTGACCTAGTTCCAAAAGGCAATTGCAAACTAAAATTGCAATTTGGTGTAGTTTTTTTCTTTAAAATACTTCAATAATGTGGGTGTATCTAGAGGGTATTATGCTAAGTGAAATAAGTCAGGTAGAGACAGAAAAATACCATATAATCTCATTTATATGTAGAATATAAAAAAACAAAATGAAAACAGATTCATAGATACAAATAATGGGAAGTTGCTAGAGGGGGAGGCAGATAGGAGAAGAGGGTGTAAAAGGTGAAGTAGATTTAAAGGTACAAGCTTCTAGCTGTAAAATAAATAAGCCAAGTGATGTAATATACAGCATAAGGAATATGGTCAATAATATTGTTAATAACTTTGTATGGGGACAAATGGTCATAAATCTTATAGAGGCAAACATTTCATAGTGTATGTAACTGTCAAATTGCTATGTAGTACACCCAAAACTAAACATAATATTGTACATCACCTATATTTCAACTTTTTTAAAAAGAAACAAACTTTCAATAATAGAGGAAAATATAGAGAGATGATGGCTTCCCTCATAGCTCAGTTGGTAAAGAATCCACCTGCAATGCCGGAGACCCCAGTTCAATTCCTGAGTCAGCAAGATTCACTGGAGAATGGATAGGCTACCTGAGAGGGTAACAGGCAGGAAGGCCAGGGGTCTCAAATGGAGGAAATCAGCTGCAAGGGTTAGACATTTTTTCTCTCTCCCTTAAGCCACAGGAGGAAACAAACTACAAGTGTCAGATTTTTTTCCCTTCTCTATACAAAATTAAAAGGAGGTTTCTCTTAAAATTCTGTGTTGCCGTGACGACACCTGATTTCACCTGAACTTAACTTTTCTCAAACCTTGAGCTAACCAATGCATTTTTTTTATGGAAATGTTTTTTTTAAGCTATGTTAATGAAACTATGTATTTGCTTTGGAATTTGCCTTTCTTCAAAATGGTTCCACCTAAGACTAACTTTTTTTCTTTTCTCAAACCTTGGGCTGATAATAGTTCAACAAACCAGTATTCATATCAATTGTTTTGTAGCTGGGGGATGACACACCTCTTGCCATCCTATCTCAAAAATGCATATTGTGGGAGAGGGGCCTGGTGAAACTCCCTCAGCCTTGAGGTGTCCCTCTTATCTGATTAATAGCTTTCTAACAGACATAACACCCTTGGAATTAAAAGACGCATACGCCTTGGAAGGAAAGTTATGACCAAACTAGACAGCATAGTAAAAGGAAGAGACACTGTTTTGCCAACAAAGGTCCGTCTAGTCAAGGCTATAGTTTTTCCAGTAGTCATGTATGGATGTGAAAGTTGGACTATAAAGAAAGCTGAGCACTGAAGGATTGATGTTTTTGAATTGTAGTGTTGGAGAAGACTCTTGAGAGTCCCTTGGACTGCAAGGAGATCCAACCAGTCCATCCTAAAGGAGATCAGTCCTGGGTGTTCATTGAAAGGACTGATGTTGAAGCTGAAACTCCAATACTTTGGCCACCTGATGCGAAGAGCTGACTCATTGGAAAAGACCCTGATGCTGGGAAAGATTGAGGGCAGGAGAAGAAGGGGATGACAGAGGATGAGATGGTTAGAGGGTATCACCTACTCAATGGACATGAGTTTGGGTAAACTCTGGGAGGTGGTGATGGACAGAGAGGCCTGGTGTGCTGTGGTTCATGGGGTCACAAAGAGTTGGACACAACTGAGCAACTGAACTGAACTGAACTGAACAGACGTAAAACATCTTGCTAAAGACGAGCAGGCGGGCACCCTTTCTGCCCCCTTCTGATGTCTATGTCAGAAGCTTTGTCTATCTCTTTTATACTTTATTAAAACTTTATTACACAAAAGCTCTGAGCAATCAAGCCTCGTCACTGGCCCCAGATTGAATTCCTCTCCTCTGGAGGCCAAGAATCCTGGCGTCTTTCATGGCTCAGCAACAACCTTTTATATCCACTCCAGTATTCTTGGGCTTCCCTTGTGGCTCAGCTGGTAAAGAATCCTGCCTGCGATGTGGAAGACCTGGGTTTGATCCCTGGGTCGGGAAGATCTCCTGGAGAAGGGAAAGGCCACCCACTCCAGTATTCGGGCCTGGAGACTTCAAATTGCAAAGACCTGGACATGACTGAGCGACTTTCACTTTCACTTCATAGACATGAACAAGAAATGTAGTTAAAAGGAGGTCATCCAAAATTCTAAGTTTTATAGCAGAGTAATTTAAAAGAGTCAGCCAGTTTCTATACCAAAACAAACCAATATTAAACTCATTGACTAACTAACAGAAGTCAGACACAAGTTGCTTGCTTCTACTCTTATAAAATTATAATTTACTTCTTTTTATGTAACATTTAATTGGAGCTAAGAGCCTACAGCATGACTAAACAGTAAGATCTAATGTTTTAAAACATTAAACACTTCTCATAGTGTATGATAGCTTATGAGTAAATAGTGAAATGACATGTTACTTAAATATAAGGACTATTTTAAAACGAGTCATGAGTGCGTGCAAACACACACACACACAGCCACACTAAATATTCTATGCAAGGGTATGTTCACAACCATAGTTAATTTTGTGTAAGTAGTAGAAAAGTAAAGTAAATAATAAAGTTCTAATAAACATTTACAGTCAATCTTCTTAAAAGTCAGACGATTACTTCATAGAAATCAGATCACTTCGACATCTATATGCAGTTCAGCAATGCAGGTTCCTTGCCTATAGTTAAAGGGCCCTGATTTTTAGCCTTCCAGATTGTTTGTAGAATTGTCCTTTAATTTAAAACAAATCATATAATTATGCATTTGACTGCACTCAAACTTATCAAGACATTTGCTAGGGAGTAAAGAACTAATTTTACTGTATAAATTAAACATTTTCCCTATGCTAAATACACTGAAAGAGAATAAATAAATAGTTTGCAGTTTCTGCACACATTAGGGCTCAACAACAGCTGATTAAACAGCACATTAGGAATGATTACATGTCAGTTATTTGCAGTAATTGAAAAAACAATCAATTTAGAGTTGAAAAAATCTAGAATTTGGTGTGATATCTTTTCCTGTTAAGGCCATTTTTTTTTAAAAAAAAATCTATGAATGGAGACAGTGCATGTTATATATACTTCATAAGTTATTAGGATTGTTGTTGTTTGTTGTTTAGTCACTAAACTGTTTTGCAACCCCATGGATTATATAGTCCACCAGGCTCCTTTGTCCATGGGATTTCCCAGGCAAGAATACTGGAGTGGGTTGACATTTCCTTCTCCAGGGGATCTTCCCAACCCAGGAATCAAACCCGAGTCTCCTGCATTGGTAGACAGATTCTTCACCACTGAGCCACTCGGGAAGCCCAAAATATGGACTAGTGGTTTATAAAAATAAGCACTACTTGCTTGTTTTGTTATATAATTGGTGGTGAAGCATATTATGAATAATGTAAAATTTCACAGTTGATTTACTTAAAAAAATCATTTAGAGCAGATCTAAAGCAGGTCTGTAAAAACATCTCTCATATTCAATTATATTTTCATTTGTTTTGTTGAATAGGAAGGGGATGAAGTTATAAATATTGCTTTAAGAATTTCACATAACCAACAGCTTAACCTGTCTGGGCATTCCTAGGGGAGTATATTGTATCATCATCTGCTTTCCTGGTAGAAAAATCTTCAGAACTACTATGCCAAATTATCTTAGTAATCATCCCCTCACTGCTTTCATATAGAATTTATTATATATTTATATTAAAATGTTCTTAAGGTTAGTCAGTGTCTGTTTCTGTCAGCACCCAGAAATGCCTAAACATGTTTGTTATTATTCTCAGTGTTTGTTACTATTAAATTAAGTATTACAAATTTACTTTCAGGAAGAAATTCAGATTTAATTAAAATGTTATAATAAAAATATCTCAATTGAACAGTGTGTTCATAAAAAATCAAATGGTAGATCTCAAATATATTAGAAATGCATAGAAAAAATGCCTGAGGAAAAAAATTTCAAACATTAAGTGGATGCTGAATAAGTTATGTTTTTCCTGATTTATAATTTTCTACTCTTGTAAATTTTTCTCCAGTGAAAACCTGTTTTTCCCATCAAGTTTATTATTTACAAAGACACGTTTTACTATAAAAGTGGAATATACTGAGCATTTCATTTACACATAAGCATGACAGGAAGAAAAAGCAAATGATGTCAAGTTAGTAGCAAGTAATAATGAGCAGATGCTTATCACAACACTAGTGAAAGTAGTTTTCAAAACTAAAGGGTGACAAAGACATCTTCTGGACATCTTAAGAACTGCATAGTTCCTTTTTAAACAAAGGATCTTATTTTTACCTTAGAGTAATAGTTTAAACACCATGCATTAAGAAGGGTAAAATCAATCTGTGTTAGGTTTGAAATTTTAAATATTACATGATTAAATTACAAACATAGAGTATTTAAAGAAGACACAAAACTATTGCATGCACATTGGAATTTCCAAAATATCCTTACAACTATTTTGATAGATTATAAAATACAAATATTTTAGTAAAAATAATTTATTTTCATGTAAGGAACACGTAAAATAATATGAAAATTACATGCAATGTTGAACCGCTACCTGAAAAATTTAAACAGAATACTTCATGAATCATGGAACTTCTTGATATAAAAATATGATTGGCAATTTAATCATTAAACAACTGTGTTTAATAAATTCAAAACTACATTTGATTGATTTGAGATTTGTCCTAGTAGTATGCAATATAATTATTTTAGAAAAATTATTTCCAGTGAAATATGAGTCCAAATTTTAAATGTGTCCACTCATTTTGAACATGTGTTTACTTAACCTACAACTTACTTGTAAAATTATATCACTATGGGCACATTTAATGAATTTTGTATATGAAATAGTATTCTTTTAGCATGAGTTGCACTCATAGTTAGCCACCTTCAGGAAGTATTATTGATGCCTATGATTTACATCTCTAAATAATTCTTAGGACAAACCCCGTTTAACACTATTTTAAAAAAAAATATATAGTTCTAAAAAAACTCATCTGTAGTTCAACTAACAAAACTCAACCTGATTTAAGAATAGTTGTGTTTGGTAAGAAATGTATTCTTTAGTTTTAGATAAGCCTAAATGGATAGATATTCTACAAATGAAAACATACTATTTCCTAAAATTACTTTTGCTTAGTATCTTTATATATCAAGTCAAAATGAGATTTTACAACTAAACGGCTTCCAATAACAGGACTAAATATTTGATTCTTTGGACTTCATTTTATGTCACTTTAGCTTTTCAAATTGTTGTATATTTCATGATTTTTCTAACATAGAAAATCAAATGAATAAGTTAAGTGTAAAGAAAGTTTAAGAGAGGTGATATTAAATAAAATTCACCAAGGATGATAAGAGATTATCTTCATATGGAACTGAAGTGCTTCAGTAACATAAGTAACGTGATTATCTTATATGTATATTTTTATCACCAACACTGTCTGCTAGTTTTTGCACAACTTCTAAGCGGAAATAGGTTTCTTGGTGTATATTCAGTTCTCTTTAGGCAGTTACATTCGATTTGATCTTGGAAAGTGGCTGCCAGGAATCCTGTCAGAAACAAAATATTTATGAGTTAAACAGTGGTGACAATTTCTTAATGGATCAGCTAACTTAAGGTAATTCTGAAGTAAATAATTTTTGTATTTTATATGTGTACAATTTCAAAAAGACACCACAAGAGAGAAAAATACCATGCTTTTGACTAACTGTAAGTCAGGTTATCATGAGGATAACCCATTGATATAAAAATATGATATCAACATAAAGTGAAGAGAAAGTTGCTCAGTATGTTCAACGCTTTGTGACCCCATGGACTGTAGCCTGCCGGGCTCCTCTGTACATGGAGTTCTCCAAGCCAGAATACTGGAGTGAATTGCCATTCCCTTCTCCAGGGGATCTTCCCAACCAGGAATTGAACTGGGGACTCCTGCAGCTGCCAGGAAAGTCCGTGATATCAACATAGTATACTCAGTAAATATATACTTAGTGGGACATGACTGATTATAGCAGGGAGTCAGTACGGCAAGAGCCAGGCTTAATAGGTGTTCCAGAGATTGGCTACAAAGAAGCTAGAGGGCAAATGTTAACTGGAAATCTGGGTGGATAGGTTTTGAGCAGCAGAGTGAAATCTTAATAAGAATATCATGTTCTTTGGCCTTCACCTGGCCTCTAAGGACTAGGATCCAAACTGGAGGAAGGGCAAGTGGGAATTACAAGTCTGAAGAATTTACTAATTCTCAGCCTTTGTGATTTCAGAGTTGAATTTATCTGTTGTTCAAAATATAAGTGAACTGCTTTGCATATTCAGTAAGTAGAAGTGACTTGGGAGATAATACAATTAAAAGTGGTTCCCATAATTGTTTCAATGTTTCCTCACATAAGTACAAGGTGAGCACTATTCTACCTTGAAAGCCATTTCTGTTTGAATTATGATGTATATGCCGGACTTTGAGAAAGATTCGGTGAATGTGAGAGAATATGCTGACAGTCTTCCCCCAGCTCACAGAGTAAATACATAATAGTATATAACAATATTTCCTATTTCTATACATGATCAGCAAATTTGGGAGGTTTTATGATGAGAAGTGATATTAAAACACGGAATAGCTTTACCTTCCCTCGTCTTGGTTGCTCTGGTACATCTGTGCACTTGGAGATGCCATATTCTGATGTGATAAAAGAGATGGAGAGAGATTTATCCCTCTGAGTTGCCGAAAAGCTATTTCTGCATGGATGCTCCGAGGATTATTTGTCAGCATCCCTGCGTTCTTGGCTTTTTTGTCTGAAATTAGGAATTATGAAACAATGAAGGGCATTAATAAAATAAATTAATAAGCTATGGTTGTCCTTCAATTGACTGTATGCTATACACATTTCACAGCATGAATTAAAAATTTTAAATAAATGTTAAAATTGGAATATATTTCTAGTACTTAAATGCTGTTTAAATTTTTCTGAGTTAGTGAATTAATTTGATACTTTCTTGGTAATTTTAAAAATCTAAATATCCAGAGCTGTGTGCTGTAAATAAATACATAGATAAAGTGACCATACTTCTCAAACAAATATTGGGGT